ACCAGGGTGCACAACACACAACACAACCAGGGTACACAACACACAACACAACCAGGGTGCACAACACAACACGGAGCAGCCATCTTCCCGTGGACCCCTCACCCTGTGAGGATTGGGCGTCAGCTTTGATCTCCACTTTCTAATCCAGAAATTAACTAAAAAGTGGATGAACATTAGATTGGATTAGATTAATCTTTATTGTCATTACAAAGTCAGAACAATGCAACGAATGAATGAATGTATTTATTTAAAGTAGATACATAATAACCATAGTATTTACTGTTTCAAAGAGAACTCAAAGGACCATTCTGCCGAGCGTACATCTGCCAAACAATGTACTTTTAATTAAACCAAAGCAACAATACACAGAAGTGGCCAGTTAATATTGATTCACACGTGTTGTTAAAAATGCAGAGAATGCGGCCGATAATGAAATGTACGCACACGGGGAGAGAGCACACGGCCACATAATGAATGAAGAGACGCCTGCGGAATAATTGGATCCGAACACCAGCAGAATATCATACGCTTATTGTTTAGCTTCTGACGAGTCGCACAAACTGATCCAAACTTTTACAGAACTCTGATAGTTCCCCCGGACCATATGGCGACAGACACAGAGAAGCTATAGTCGCACCATGTCGCGTCTGAGAGAAAAAACAGACAAGATTTTTGAATTTTTTTTAACCCTTTAACGGTTTCCTTATCCATTTGGTAGATTACCGTTTGAGTTTCTGCATCTCCTCACCTGGTTTTAGGCACTTTTACATCAAACTGCATTTCAAGCATTTGGCAACGAGCCTATGATGAACCAAAAAGTAGGAGTAAAAGAGAGAGAGAGACCCGCGAGACCAGAGAGAGAGATTAGAGAGAGACCATTGAGAGACCATAGAGAGACCAGAGAGAGACCATAGAGAGACCAGAGAGAGACCAGAGAGATTAAAGAGAGACCATTGAGAGATTAGAGAGAGACCAGAGAGAGACCAGAGAGAGACCAGAGAGAGACCAGAGAGAGACCATAGAGAGACCAGAGAGAGACCATAGAGAGACCAGAGAGAGACCAGAGAGATTAAAGAGAGACCATTGAGAGATTAGAGAGAGACCAGAGAGAGACCAGAGAGAGACCAGAGAGAGAGATTAGAGAGAGACCAGAGAGAGACCATTGAGAGACCATAGAGAGACCAGAGAGAGACCATAGAGAGACCATAGAGAGACCAGAGAGAGACCAGAGAGAGACCATAGAGAGACCAGAGAGAGACCATAGAGAGACCAGAGAGAGACTAGAGAGATTAAAGAGAGACCATTGAGAGATTAGAGAGAGACCAGAGAGATACCATAGAGAGACCAGAGAGAGACCAGAGAGAGAGATTAAAGAGAGACCAGAGAGAGACCAGAGAGAGACCATAGAGAGACCATAGAGAGACCAGAGAGAGACCAGAGAGAGACCATAGAGAGACCAGAGAGAGACCATAGAGAGACCAGAGAGAGACCAGAGAGAGAGATTAGAGAGAGACCAGAGAGAGACCAGAGAGAGACCATAGAGAGACCAGAGAGAGACCAGAGAGTAAAAACTAATTATTTATGTTATTAGTGTCCTACAACCCTTTACCTTTCACTCCTTTCTTCAAGGAGTGAAAGTTAAAGGGTTACAGCGGTTCAATGTTTAATGTTTCTATTTATTTCCCTTCTGTCCACATCGTCTCCTCGTCCTGGTTCTTGTCCTGGTGCTCTCTTGGCCCTCTCCTGGTCCTCTCCTGGTCCTCTCGTGGCCCTCTCCTGGTCCTCTCTTGGTCCTCTCCTGGTCCTCTCTTGGCCCTCTCCTGGCTCTCTCCTGCTCCTCTCTTGGCTCTCTCCTGCTCCTGGCCCTCTCCTGGCCTTCTCCTGGTCCTCTCCTGGCCTTCTCCTGGTCCTCTCCTGGTCCTCTCCTGGTCCTCTCTTGGTCCTCTCCTGGCCTTCTCCTGGTCCTCTCCTGGTCCTCTCCTGGTCCTCTCTTGGCCCTCTCCTGGTCCTCTCTTGGCTCTCTCCTGGTCCTCTCCTGCTCCTGGCCCTCTCCTGGTCCTCTCCTGGTCCTCTCCTGGTCCTCTCCTGGTCCTCTCTTGGCCCTCCCCTGGTGCTCTCTTGGCCCTCTCCTGGTCCTCTCCTGGTCCTCTCTTGGCCCTCTCCTGGTCCTCTCTTGGTCCTCTCCTGGTCGTCTCTTGGCCCTCTCTTGGTCCTCTCCTGGTCCTCTCCTGGTCCTCTCTTGGTCCTCTCCTGGTCCTCTCTTGGCCCTCTCTTGGTCCTCTCCTGGTCCTCTCATGGTCCTCTCTTGGCCCTCCGCTGGTCCTCTCTTGGCCCTCTCCTGGTCCTCTATTGGCTCTCTCCTGGTCCTCTCCTGCTCCTGGCCCTCTCCTGGTCCTCTCCTGCTCCTGGCCCTCTCCTGGTCCTCTCTTGGCCCTCCCCTGGTGCTCTCTTGGCCCTCTCCTGGTCCTCTCCTGGTCCTCTCTTGGCCCTCTCCTGGTCCTCTCCTGGTCCTCTCTTGGTCCTCTCCTGGTCCTCTCTTGGCCCTCTCTTGGTCCTCTCTTGGCCCTCTCTTGGTCCTCTCCTGGTCCTCTCCTGGTCCTCTCTTGGTCCTCTCCTGGTCCTCGCTTGGACCTCTCTTGGTCCTCTCTTGGTCCTCTCCTGGTCCTCTCCTGGTCCTCTCTTGGTCCTCTCCTGGTCCTCTCTTGGCCCTCTCTTGGTCCTCTCTTGGCCCTCTCTTGGTCCTCTCCTGGTCCTCTCCTGGTCCTCTCTTGGTCCTCTCCTGGTCCTCTCTTGGACCTCTCTTGGTCCTCTCTTGGTCCTCTCCTGGTCCTCTCCTGGTCCTCTCCTGGTCCTCTCTTGGTCCTCTCCTGGTCCTCTCTTGGCCCTCTCTTGGTCCTCTCATGGTCCTCTCCTGGTCCTCTCCTGGTCCTCTCCTGGCCCTCTCCTGGTCCTCTCCTGGTCCTCTCTTGGCCCTCTCCTGGTCCTCTCCTGGCCCTCTCCTGGTCCTCTCCTGGTCCTCTCTTGGTCCTCTCCTGGTCCTCTCTTGGCCCTCTCTTGGTCCTCTCATGGTCCTCTCCTGGTCCTCTCCTGGTCCTCTCTTGGCCCTCTCCTGGTCCTCTCCTGGTCCTCTCCTGCTCCTGGTCCTATCCCAGACAACACAGCAGGAATAGTCGCTCGGCGGAGCATGTTCAGGCGGCGGGACCGGAGCCAGTACCTTCTGCCGGTGGTGGTGGCGGACAGTGGAAGCCCGGCTCTGTCCAGTACCAGCACCTTGACCATCAGCGTCTGCAGCTGTCAGCCTGCGGGTCACTGTCCCAGCAGCGGAGTGGAGGCTCTGGCCCTGTCCATGGGCCTCAGTCTACAGACTCTACTGGGTCTGCTGGTCAGTCTGATCACCATCGCAGGTATTTACAGCACGATTACTTACTTACTTACTTTCTGACTTACTGAAGACTTGATCCAAACCCAAACCCAAACTGTTCATGAGTGGTTGGCCTGTTAGAAAAGATGGACAGAGCATAGGCAAAAAAACAATTATGTAAGGAACACCAGACTACCTAGTACAGGCATGTCCAAGCTCTGGCTATCTCACCACAAAAAACACTTGCTATCTCGCCACAAAACACTGGGTAGCTCGCCACAAAACACTGGGTAGCTCGCCACAAAACACTGGGTAGCTCGCCACAAAACACTGGCTAGCTCGCCACAAAACACTTGCTAGCTCGCCACAAAAAGCATGTGTGATTTCTATGTTAAAAAGCCTGTTCTCTTCCAGCACGAGACTAAAGCTGTGTTCTCGCCACAGCCGACCCAGGGCAAGTATACATATGTCGAACCAGCAGGACCCTACTTTTAACTCTTCTCCAGCTTTCCCCTGTTTTAAACTCAGAGCTTTTAACAACATCTTAAAATGCCGGGCGCTCCCTGTGCAATGATGGCAGGTAATGAGCCTATTGGTTGCAATACATCAGCAGCTCACGGCGTCCGGGGATGTGGCTGGGTTTGCATAGTGACGAGCTAGTATTATGACCTTAGCTGTTTGGTGCTCCCCCGCCTGCATATCACATGGAAGATTAATGGCACTATACCTGCTTGGCTAACGTCGGCAAATAAACAGTGAGTAGTGTCGTGTTGTAGCATTGGAAGTGATGTAGAAAGAATGAAAGGAAACCCCATGTGTCGGTGTTTGCCTTTTCATGCATGAGAAAGAATCAGGGCTTTTTGTTGAACATGGAGAGGTTTGTCGGGGCGTAGGGGTGTATATAATCGATAAATAGATATATAGATATCTTTAAATTCAATCCAACTTCACATTTAGATTTAGTAATCTATATTGTTGTATATACGATTGTCCAGATTTGATATTTTATCTTAAAAACTGCAAAAAATGCTAAAATATGAGGTAACATTAGCTTCAATCCAGTGGTTTTTAAACTAACTTTGAGCACCTTCTAACTGTGTTGAAATAAGACTAAATGGCTTTGTTCCACTGGTAAATCTTGCTTTAACACAGTCAGAATGTGCTCAGATTAAGATAATAAAAAATCCCTTGATTTAGGTAATTATTGCCACAAAGTTTATCATTTTTTTCAGGGTTGATTCAGAACCAACATGTGTTCTTCTTCCTTCCGCTGGCCTCGCTGTCTGCACAGAACAACAGATAATGAGTCCTGCCTTTAGTTCAAAGTACATAAACCATCTTTGAAGTTGATATTGATGGAAAAGACAAATCAGATTTCTAAAACAATATGTAAAAAGTCTTCCATGTGCGATAATCCAGTCCGCTGACACCTAATGATTCATGCATGAAAAGGTTAAAAGATAATTAAACATCTAACGACGCGTTGGTATTCTTTTGATTGCCGTTACCTCTGCTTCATCCGGACCCCCCGTGTTTTCCCTGACACTCTTGCTAGCGCCTTGGTGTTTAGCGCTAATGATCTCCCGCTGTTCTGTTCCCTCAGTGCTGTCAGTGCTGCTGCTAATCCTGAGGAGGCACCACCGCAAGCAGCACGAGGCCGAGGTGAAGGAGCTGGACCTGCCCGAGACCGTCTCCCAGAAAGTCCTGTACTACGGCGACGCCACCAAAGCCAACTTCTGCACTCCGGCCGTCGTCCCGCTGCGCCGACACCCGAAGAGACGCGACCGGAGGCTGCGGCGCGAGGAGGTGCGAGCTAGCATACGCCTGTCGATGAGGCAGTCGCGTCTGATCGGGCCGGAGGACGAGGCGTTTCGACAGTTCATCGCGGATCGGTTGGAGGAGGCCGAGGGAGATCCGCACGCACCGCCGTACGATCGGCTCGTGATGTACGCGTTCGAAGGGACCGGATCGCCGACGGGGTCTTTGAGCTCGCTGGACTCGCTGGACTCTTTTGAGGTGGGAGCAGAGGAAGGGCAGCCCAAACCTGTGCAGAGAACCAGCCAGGTGCGACTGACGCCTTGGTACGGAGGAGCCGAGGAGGACACGGTCTTTTGAGGGAGTTCATGTATTCTTAGGATTCCTCAACGCCATTTGTTCAGGGGTCTCCAGCCTGTGCCTGTTTAAAAATGCCTCTGCCATTTGCAAAAGTGCTAATAAGACGTTTTTTGTACAAGACTACATTACAATCCTTAACCGGAACCGTTTTTCGCAGACTTTTGACAATGTTTTTATCCCTCTCTCTATATATATTTCTTGTTTTAGATTGGTTCATTCATGTTTAGAATATATTTTTGCCTACTGCATTTTAGTGGCATTGATCTTGACTCCAACCCATCCCCCTGAGGAATGGGCAGTGATCTCACTCATTTGTACCTTCAGTTTATTCCAGACAGAACAGAAGACGACAAAGGCTTTTATATGAGTAGCATCAGAAATAAGTCAGAACAGAGACGCCAGATCATACTTGAGTTATTAGTCCCGACGATCCAATTATAACCAAGGTCTGCATGGCCTTAACTCTTTGAATCTCATTCCTTGAATACGTTTCATATTTGTCCTAGCTCAAGCCAAAACACACCAATCCCCCCCAGGCAGCCCCCGCATATAGTTATTAACCAAGCAAAAAATATATTGCATTTTTCAGAATATATAGAAGTCGACAGCTCACAAACTACTATAGATAGCACTAGTAAATGGTTTAGTGACTGTGTCCAATCACAGACTCACTCTCACTCAGTCTCTCACTAATATAGTGACTCATATTTTCTAGGACTGCTTTAAAGCTCTCGGCCATTTTGTCTTGACAAAGTATCTCTGTGGGTGAAAAAGGTTGGACACCCCTGCCTCAGATTCTAATAAGACATTTGTGATATGACGTTTTTCACATAAGACTACATTCCAATTTTAAATGGAACTGTTAGGAGTGGTTCATGTTTGAGCATATTTTTGTTGACTGCTTTTAAGTGTCATTGATCTGTCGCTGAAAGTCTGATTCTGAAGTAAAGTAGGATTACTGACGTTTATGGAGACATGGACAAAAGGGATATTCTGCTGTTGGGATGAACTGTCTTGATATCTGGCCATCAATGGTCCTTCTCCATGAGGGGCGACCACTTTGTCCAGACTGACCCCCAAACTGACCAATCGTAGCTGACATTTTGGCTGTGGACCCTCTCTCTGACAGCATCATATACAGTGGCTGACAGACTCCTGAGGGCCAGAGCCTCTCTCTCTCTGGTCTCTCTCTCATTGATCTCTCTCTGATCTCTCTCTTTTGTCCTCCTCTGGTCTCTCTCTTTTGTCCTCCTCTGGTCTCTCTCTTTTGTCCTCCTCTGATCTCTCTGGTCTCTCTCTGGTCTCTCTCTGGTCTCACACTGGTCTCTCTCTCGTCTCTCTATCATTGATCTCCCTCTGATCTCTCTCTTTTGTCCTCCTCTGGTCTCTCTGGTCTCTCTCTGGTCTCTCTCTGGTCTCTCTCTGGTCTCTCTCTCATTGATCTCTCTCTGGTCTCTCTCTCTCTCCACCATGTGTCCTTCTGTGTCTGTACAATGTATTTACAGTTGTCTTCTGTGTGTATCTTGTAAATGTCCAAAGTCATTAAATGTCCTCGTTTATATCCATCTGGTTTATGCCTAATATATCAAGCAACAACTAGACTTTCATAATAACAGACGCTAAAACAAAATCTGTGCAATTCTTTGTATACACAGTATATTATGTCCGTCTGGGATTTCTTTCAGTCATAATTCTGTTTGTGATGAAAATTTGGATAATCGTTCTTCGTTGGCTTCAAGTGCTATTCGTCCAACAGACAGTTTCCATTCTTCTGAGAAAAATACAAAAACACATCAATGGGATGGACTCGCCGACAGTAGAGCCGCAAGCCACGTCCGACCGACCAATCATGAAGCAGAAGAGGACCCACGGTATGTTCTGTGATCCGACCAACTTTGATCTTTCCCCTGACATTTTTAACAGCTTTGAAGAATACATTTTAATCTCAATAAGAACAAGCAACAAAAATGGCTCCAAAACCAATGGAAGTGTACATGGTTGAACTGGTCTTCTTAGTGCTACGACGACGTCTTTTAACTTATATATAAACTGTTTTTTAAATGTACTTTAGGCACCTTTGGGTGTCAAGAAAGGCGCCTAAGTAAAAACATTATTACTATTATTCTTATGAGTGGTAGCAGAAATAAAAGGTGTTTGGTTCTTCTCAGACATAGTAAGTTATTTTCTCTGCATGTTTCGACGGTAATCCAAACGATAGAACCAAATACCTTCACGTAAATGGGATAATCTGGTTGTGCCCCCTGCTGTGACCAATCCTGATTTTCATGAGACAAGCAGGTGACAGACCCCCATCATGAAATCGACTCAAAAAGCAAATATTTATGGACGTGTTGGTGATTCAGAGAGGTCTTTATGAGCCTGAGACACAATCAAAACAAATCAATGAACACAAAGATTGCATATCATTCCATAATTTAACTGCTATTTCTATTATTTACGTCACCCTCTGGGGAAATGAAACATAACATTCTATAGTGTCTTTATATTGGCAAATATGTGTTTTCAATATCCATTTATTAACGAGATGTGGAGGGGAAATAAACAATGTGGTAATGACTGATTTATCATGTCATTTATATGGACTGAAATAACAGTGTTTACCATCGTTCTGAGCGTGATTATAATTATTACATGTGGCTCTCTGGTACAAATGTGACATGTTTCAAAACAGTTTATGAAAAATCAATCCTTTATTTACATTCTGTATATTTCACTCTGATTTCACACTTTTCCACAAGTCACAAGAAGTTTGAACCGATAGAGAAAATCTGCTTTGGCTTCTGCGGCTCAGAGAATAGACTTTAAAGCAGCACAGGGACTGGTCTCCTGCTGGGACTCTGCGGAGCACAGGGACTGGACTCCTGCTGGGACTCTGAGGAGCACAGGGACTGGCCTCCTGCTGGGACTCTGCGGAGCACAGGGACTGACCTCCTGCTGGGACTCTGCGGAGCACAGGGACTGACCTCCTGCTGGGACTCTGAGGAGCACAGGGACTGGCCTCCTGTTGGGACTCTGAGGTGCACAGGGACTGGCCTCCTGTTGGGACTCTGCGGAGCACAGGGACTGACCTCCTGCTGGGACTCTGCGGAGCACAGGGACAAATCTATACAAAAAGTCTTTCTTGCTCACCGTCATTAGCAGAACTTGCCGTTTATAGCAGTGGCTTGGGTTTTTAAGGCGTTCTTTGGTAATTGCACGGTTATAAGGTCTCCCCTCCCTCACCTTCTCATCGGCTAATTGGTCCGTTAGCTGTCTCGAGGAGGTCAAGATATATATCGCCTCCTATACCTCAGACGAAAATAAGCTTAAAATTGCCGTGTGAGTTTGGGGAAGCATCCAAGCGTTGCCGCATTAACGCTGTGCTTGTTGGGTTGCGTGACTTAATTGGTCAAATCCAGCGAGTTTCTGTTTCTGATCCCGCTGGTCGTCTTGAATGAGACCGTGTTGGCCTCGGCGGGAGATTTCCAGACATAGTTACGTCTCATGGTACACTTCAAATGGCGGGCGCCGTTGGGGACCTCGCTCTCTCCGCTGGTGAGGTTTCATCCGGCGAATCATTGTTCTGCAGGTGCGAACACACACAAAAATCCAGAGCAATCGCAACCAGCACAAAAGCTAGCCTGGATTTTTCTCTTTGAGTAGAGGCTTAAACGTCAAAAGTCGGCTCGAGATGTCCGTTTACCTCTGCGTTTTCCGTCATTGTGCGAGCGTCACGGCTAATTTAACCTAACCGCTCCATTCTGCGCAAAATTACTCCCATTATACACTCTTTTCAAAGCGAGAGCCAAGCTAATCATAGATCCTCACAATGCACACGTTCGAGAGGTTTTATTGGCACCCATTGCGATTGAAAAGACGCCTGAAAAGAATTCGGCGAGTCATTTTTTTGTTTTTCATAACTCAAATCATTAGCGAACACCTCCGGGTTTGGCTGCAGACAGATACCAATCTTTCATTTCCAGTTGGCAAAGCGAGGCCTAATTAGTGAGAAGATTTGGAGGTCCGTGAGCGCGACAATGGTGGGTGGCCGGCCAACCGTCTCCGTAACATATTGTTGTGTGGAGTAGAGGATGCTACATGTGCAGAAGTAGCTGTTTTTATGTGTTTTTCGATGACATGTGAAAAGGTTCTTCCGCTCATGAAGGGACTTAAAGATTGGGTCTCCACCTTTCAAGCCAAAACAAATGGAACGATAAAATGAGATCCGAACTGGCCAAGCTGCACTTATTCAATCATTCTATGTATAGCTCAGTTAAAGTATAGATGGAAGGCCAGTCGAAGTAGATTTAAAGGCAGGGTGCTTGCACAAGTCTTGATAATCTTAATAAGTATGGAATTTTGAAACACCTTTTTCGAACAGACCTTGAAAAGCCTTGAATTTTGTGTCTTAATAAAGTATGGAGAAAAAAATCTATGGTAGATTTTTACATGTAAATCATGCATTTGTTCATTGAATACTAGCCTATTTCACTTTGGAGAGACCCAAGAGGGAAAATGCAGTTAGAAGTTTATTGATTGAGCATGTTTGGCGCCCCAGGCCCGGGAGAGATTCTGTTGAGCGCGGCGCTTGCTCGCGTGCATAATCCCCCCCGGGGCCTAGGCACTGGTGACGGCAGAGGCAGTAGGCAAGCACGCTTCGATGAGAGAAGGAGGAGGTGGGGCGGCAGAGGCTTGCAGACTTCAGAAGGCCGGGAAGTGGGCGTCTCCGGCTTTTAACTTGCTGTCCTGGTGGTTATTGGTGGATTAGATGTGGGCGTTTTGCTGGTGTAATGAGTAGAGGATGAGCAGGCTTGTAGATTTGGCAGCAGCGGCCGGGTCTACCACAGTGAATTTTCGCGAAGAGCTCCATGAAAATTAACATTTCTAATAAACACAGTTGGTGCAATCTCAACCCATGAAGTAGGCACAGAAGTATACAAGCACATAAAGTTAAGGTCTGGCGGAAAAAAAAATATCAGTTTTTAAAAAAGTCTGGAATT